ATCATCCATCCATCATCCATCCATCCATCATCCATCATCCATCCATCATCCATCCATCCATCCATCCATCCATCATCCATCCATCATCCATCCATCCATCCATCCATCCATCATCCATCCATCATCCATCCATCATCCATCCATCATCCATCCATCCATCCATCCATCCATCCATCCATCCATCCATCCATCATCCACCCATCATCCATCCATCCATCCATCCATCCATCCATCATCCATCCATCATCCATCCATCCACCCATCCATCATCCATCCATCATCCATCATCCACCCATCCATCATCCACCCATCCATCATCCATCATCCACCCATCCATCCATCCATCCATCCACCCATCCATCATCCATCATCCATCCATCCATCCATCCATCCATCATCCATCCATCCACCCATCCATCCACCCATCCATCCATCATCCATCCATGGGGATTTGTCACTGCTGGGGTTCATGAAAGGTGATGATTTCCAGGTATCCCAGCAGAGTTTGTCATAAATCACGTGGATATTTTAGTGTCACCTGAAAGATTCCCACCGTTCTCCATAAGGAAACTCTGTCCTCTTTCCCCTTTCTATATCTTTGGAATGTGTTTTTTCCTGGGAAAACCCCAGAGGGTTTGACAGGACCTAAGACTTGGATCTGCCACGGCTCAACTCCAACCATGGAAGAGTAAAGCAGGGAAGTCACCAGGGGTGAAATCTCTCCTGGAGATGGAATTTCTGCGGGACTTTAAGGAACTGTGGGAATGCAGGACTGTGGGAGATAACCTGGAAAAGCTGCCCTCATCCCAAGAAATTTGAAGCAAGCATTAAAAACCTGTTAATGATGGAGCTGCATCCAAGGGGTGTGAATTATGGAGAAGGAACATCTCCCAGGAAGCCCTGGAGGGATGCTGGGGTGGAACAGGAATTTGGAACTTACCCTTTGCTCCTGGGTGGCCACAAAGGTCTGGAATCCGGGGGCCACCCCAAATCCCAGCTCCTGGACAAAGGGAGGCTCGGACTGGCTGTGGATCTGCACTTTGACTCCAGCCTCGAACGTCGTCTCCTCTGGAAGAGAAGTGGGAGGGTAAGGAGCTCCAGAACAGCTGGAATCACCACCTGGAGGATCAGATCCCTGGTGACTTAGGGAGGAAATCCAGCAGCACGATTTGCTGGGAGCAGACCACTCCTGGGCCTCACCCCTAATCACCTCCCATCGGCTCTAGGAGCATCCCTGGCTTGATCCCAGCTCCCTCTCCTTGGAGCAGCAGCTCCAGCCTGTGCTCAACTTCCAAGGAAGAAAATCCAGGATGGGATCTCCCCTTTCCAGCTGGAATTTGGTCCCAGGACACTTTGGTGACATTCCCACATCACCAAACCAACTCCTCCTTCCCCTACCCAAGACTTTCCCACTCTGCTGAGGATTCATGGATTCATGGATGCCCCTCTGCTGTCCCATCCCTGACACGGCCCGAGGCCACTTGGGAATGTTGACCATGAAATGTCCTAAATTTCAAGGAATTTTGAGTTTGGCAGGTGCTCCAGGCTGGAAAAGCCTTTTGGTCTTGGACACATATTGGGGGTTAGGTTTCTTTTCTTTTGTTCCTTCTCACCTATTGAATTTTTCCCATGATTTGCCGGTACTTAGAGGTACCTGAGAAAACAAAGGGTTGGCCGGGCCCAGGCAAAAAAGAGCTGGGGCAGCTGCTGGCTCTGGCTCTGCAGCTTCAGAGGGGGACGGGACGCTCGGAGCTGTTTTGTGCTTGGGAATTCGCCATAACCCAGCCTGGGATGAGCCTCTGATCGTGAGAGCTGCTACTGACCGGGACCTCATCAACATCTACCTCACTAAAAGAGGGCCCTGTCCCCATGTGCTTGGTTCAGGGAACCCTGATCCCCCATCCCTGCCCTGATCCCCCATCCCTGCCCTGATCCCATCCCTGCCCTGATCCCCCATCCCTGCCCTGATCCCCCATCCCTGCACTGCTCGGGCTGGGCTGCTCTGGGTCTCTCTGCTCTGGGTCTCTCTGCTCTGGGTTTCTCTGCTCTGGGTCTCTCTCTCCTCTGCGTTTCTCTCTCTGCTCTGGGTCTTTCTCTCTCCTCTGGGTTTCTCTGCTCTGGGTCTCTCTCTCCTCTGCGTTTCTCTCTCTGCTCTGGGTCTCTCTCTCTCCTCTGGGTTTCTCTTTCTGCTCTGGGTCTCTCTCTCTGCTCTGGGTATCTCTCTCTGCTCTGGGTCTCTCTGCTCTGTGTCTCTCTCTCTCCTCTGGGTTTCTCTTTCTGCTCTGGGTCTCTCTGCTCTGGGTCTCTCTCTCTGCTCTGGGGGTCTCTCTGCTCTGGGTTTCTTTGCTCTGCAGCCCCACAGTCCCTGTCCTGCCAGGATCCGCAGTTCAGACACTGCCCAGAGTTTTGATCCATTTCCTCCCCCAGCCCGGGATTTCTGCTCATTCCTGCCCTTCCAGCTCGGTGCTGCTCAGAGTCCTGCTGGGGCACTGGGACTGACCCCAGGGCTTTGTGAGGCAAAGCCTCTCCTCCATCCTTCCCATCTCAGCTGTCACGGGGTCCCTGCTTCCCTTTGTTATTAATTCCATAGCTGTTGTTGTTTTGTTTGCCTTGTTGCACATACTAGTAAAGAACTGTTATTCCTATCCTCATACCTTCACCTGAGAGTGCCTTAATTTCAAAATTATAATCATTTGGAGACAGGGGGTTTACATTCTCCAATCCAAGGGACGATCCTGCCTTCCCTAGCACACACCTGTCTTTCAAACCAAGACAACCCAGCAGAGCTCAGGGTGATGGGAAGTTTCCATATCTCAAATCCATGTGGAGTAACTTGAGGTCAGTCCCTCTTTTCCACTAAAACGAGTGGACAAAAGTCAGCAAGTGGCTTTGGAAGCAGAATTGATGAGATCAGATCAGTCCCATGGGCTCTTGTCCCCACACACCAGGGCTGTCACCTCCTCCCCTCGGGCTTGCTGCTGCTCTCACATCCCAACAAACCCGAGATTCCATCTGGGACTAAGGACTCAGAGAGGAAGTCGTTAACGAGGCCCAATTTGTTCTAACCCTGGAATATTCCTGGATGTGGATCCACGCTGGTGGCCAGCAGTGCCGCCTCCACATCTGAGGATGAATCATTCCTCAGCTTCACTATTCTGTAGGATTTTCCCACTATTTCATTGTGCATTTCAACTCTAACAGCTCTGGGAGAATCTCGGGAGCAGGGAATCCCAACCATTCCCAAGTCTGGAGCTGCTTCTCCAGGGTCTGCACAAAGGGGGCTGGGAGGACACGGGCAGGGGACAAGGGAACAATGAGGGGACACTGGACGAGGTTTGGTGGATCTCAGGAATTCAGGTTTTCATGGAATCCTGGACTGGTTTGGGTTGGATGGGACCTTAAAGCCCACCCAGTGCCACCCCTGCCATGGGCAGTGACACCTTCCACTGTCCCAGGGTGCTCCAAGGGCTGTCCCAGTCTGGCCTGGGACACTGCCAGGGATGCAGGGGCAGCCACGGCTGCTCTGGGCACACTGTGCCAGGGCCCCCACAACCCTCCCAGCCAGAAACTCCTTCCCCAAATCCCACCTAAACAGACCCTGCTCACCCAGGAGCTGCCAAGGCAAAGAGAGACCCCACAGGTGGAGATGGGTTTAGGCTGGGATTTTTCCAGGACAAATGGGAGCATCCCAGAGCTTGGATCCCCTCCCCCCAGTTGCTCCAAGGTGTCACCTCCCAGCTCAGCACAGCCATGGCCACGAGCTGATCCAGGAGTCTGGAATTCTGGAGACCCCAGGCCAGACAGTGCTGTGTGCCCTGAGACAACCCCAGCCCCAAAACACACATTCCCACAGCTTTTGGAACAAATCCCTGCCAGCCCTTCCCAAATGCCTTTGGTGATGGAGAACGTCCCAATCCCATTGCATCCCATCTCCACAGCCCCACAGCACCCCAGGATGTGCCCAAATCCCAGAGCAGGGCAGGCTCCAAGCCTTCCCAAGCTCCCCCCACCCCTCCAGCCCCAATTCCCATCCCGTTATTCCCTCCTGCCGATCCCGCCCACCCCCACGGCTCTGCTGCTGTTGATCCCCTTCCAGCACTCTGGAGGAGATCCCATCTGCTTCCCTCACTAATTCCCTGACACCTCCAATGGAAAAACTCCTATTTAGTTTAATTTGTTGGGCAACAGGAATTTTCCCAAAATATTTTCCATCTAAAATTCCTCTGCCCATTTCTGCACCTGCCCCAGCTCCAATTCCATGGATTTCCCATCCCAGGGGCTGAACCCAGGTCTATCCATGGGTAAATCCCTGTCCATCCACACCAATATCCAGCCTGCAGCTATCCAAATTAGTCTTAAAAACAGCAGGATTTGGAATTTTAGACGGGAAATCCTGGAATGAAGCCAGTGGTGCCCATGGAAAAGGAGGGAAAGGCCACACCATGGAGAAAATTTTGGGATTAAACCCTACAATTGCAGAATTCCATCAGTGATGATAACCAGGAAAACAAAATAAACAGGATTTTTTAGGAAGCTTTCCTTGTTTTTCGTGCACAAAGATGAAACTGAAAACATGGAATTGGCTTGGAAAAATTGTCCCTTCTCCTAAAAAATCCATTCCTTCCAAAATTCCTGTTTGCTGCCAGGAGAGGGACATTCAAAGCCCAGCATGGATAGAAATGCCTGGATCAGAACTCATTAACTGCACCTGAAATATTCCACACCCATGCTGGGATTCAAGAGCTTTAGTGGGGATTAAATATTTCCTGGAATTGTGGGAAAAGGGAGGGATCAAAAATATGGGTTTGGGGTCATTCATTTCTGAGGGAATTTTCTCTGGACACAGCAAATGCCAAAGAGCTTCATGGAATCCCCTGGCACTGGAGAAGGCTCTGAATGTCCATGGGAAAAATCGCAGTCATGATTTTATTAATTTTACCATTTTAGGAATTTTTGAAAATCTGACAATTTTTTTTCCAATTTGAGAATTTTTTTTCCAATTTTAGCATCATTTGGAATGGCTTTTTCTGAGAATTTCTCCTGGAGCTCTGGGGCTGAGCCAGTACTCTTCCCTTCCCATTTTCAATAAACACCCCTCACCACGGGGAAAAATAATCCAGAAACTAAAATCAGTCCCAGCCCCTTGGGATTCAGCAGTTTTCCCTTATCCCAGTTTTAAACCTTATTTTGGGATGTGGGGAAGCCAAACCACTTCCTTCCTCTCCAGCCCCACTCTCAGAGCCTGGCCATTCAGGTTTTAGTGCATTCCAGGTTGGGAATAATCAAAAATTCCTTGAGAACTGCATTTTCCTACACATTAAATCCATTCCTGCTCCCAGGGTGGTGTCTCCCAACAAATCCCGAGCTGCTCTTTCCCTGCAGGATTAAAGGAGCTTGAATTAAATCTGGGATTAATTCAGCACCTGCCCCCATCTCAGCTTCCTACTCCTGCCTTTGCCTTTCCATTACTTTTTTGGGAAGAGCATCCCTGGAAAACTACAGGGAGCTCCAGCACACCTTGGCTGGGACGAAGCTCATCCCTGAAAGTTCAGGAATTAAAATCCCAAGTGCTGCCAAAAGTTGGGAGCTTCCCTCTCTCCCTGCCTGGTCCTGTTCAAACACATCCAATTCCCCTGGGAATGGAGAGCTGGAACTGAGCTTGGCTCTGATTTATTGGGAAATGAGGATACAGCCAGAGCTGGGAGGTGTTTCTGCTGGAATTGTTATCTCCAGCTCTGAAACTGTTATTCCTCACTTCTGGAACTGTTAGCTCACAGCTCTGGAACTGTTATCTTCTAAAATTGTTATCCCCAGCTCTGGAGTTATCTTCTGGAATTGTTATCTCTGGAACTGTTATCTCTGGAATTGTTATCCCCAGCTCTGG